GTGCGTGCGTGCGTGCGTGTGTGTGTGTGCTGTGTGTGTTTGGTGTACGTATGTGTGTGTGTGTTTGTGTGTGTTTGGTGTGCGTTTGGCGTGTATTTTGGTATGTGTGTGTGTTTGTGTGTATGTGTGTGTGTTTCTGTGTGTGTCTGTGTGTGTGTGTGGTAAGGACCACTCGCCTCCAGGAAAATACTCTCGCCTTCGACGAGGCCTTCTCAGGAGCCTCCCGATCCTTTCAGGAAGGCTCGCACGCCTCCGTGATGCATGGTCGCTGGTGAGGTCTCCACTCGTCGAGATGGACGCCCACACGGCGTACGTTCAACTCCATCGTAAAATTGCGCTGCCTCGTCAAGAGTATACTCCTGCTGACGTCCACAAGGAGCTCTGCACGGCAAATGGGACTCCCAAGGGCCTTGCACCCTTGCCCTGCACCCCTAACTACTATGGATTCGGATTGAGCATGCGCTGGTTCGAACCCTCCGATCCCTTCCAGAAGCCCCCCCCTGCCTTCTCAGAAGGCCGCCCCCCCTTGCTCCAACCCTGTTTCACGCGCCAACCCAAGTCCGTTCGGATGCCAGCTCCTGGACTCCTCCCGGAGCTCATCACGGCCATTCGGTCAACGATCCCTGCTCGGTGAAAGAGGCGTTGTTCTTCAGCCTCGAGCAAGTCGACTTGCCTTGGCATCGCTCGGACGTGTGCATTTTTTCTCGGCGAGAACCATCGAGGACCATCCTGGCCAAGCCAGGAGGAGGAGGGGAGGAGGAGGAGTAGGAGGAGGAGGAGGAGAAGAAGAGGGAGGAGAGGAGGAGGAGGAGGAGGAGGAGGAGGAGGGAGAGGAGGAGGGAGGAGGGAGGAGGAGGAGGAGGAGGGAGGGAGGGAGGGCGAGGAGAAGGATGATGGAGGGATGGAGGGGGAGGGAGGGAGTATGAGCAGATTGGGGCGTAAGCGCCGACCTTTGGTGTGACTATGGGCCTGGCGAGGTTCGGATCGGTCAGGCGAGCGACGTCCCGCGACACCCCTTTTACCCCCCGCGGCGCGCGGCCCCCCGGGGAGATCCCTCGACCCAGGTCGAGAGATCTCCCCGGGGGGCCCAGGATGGCTCTAGGGGAGATCTCTCGACCTAGGATGGAAGGCCGGCCCATGTGGGAAGAGCTCTTCCCACATGGGGCCGGCCTTCCGTCCTGGAGTCGTTTTCTGGTTCCTGCTAGGGCTGGGAGGCGGACGGCTTCCCGAGGCCGAGAGTCGGTGGTTCAAGGATGGGGTCTTGAGCGATGGGGTCATAAGGACGAGGTGCCTCGAACAATGCAAATCTACTCTTGGATTCTTTCCATTCAGTAGGACCCCATCCCCTAGGACCCCAACCTTGAGCCTTCGAGAACGCATGGACGAACCGGCCGTCGCGTTTTTTACGCGACGCCTAGATCTGAGGGTCACGATCTCTCCGCCCCTCTCTGCCGCACATCCGTCCAGAGACCGGGTGGTAGAAGCAGAAGTTGTCCAATACAGGGGTATTGTGGGGAGATCGCCGCGTGCATGTGCTCACGTGTGCCATAACATTGTACGCAGTGTTGGGTCATTCATGCACTGTGATCGTATGCCGCTGTCATGTTCATCCCGAATGAAACCCTGCTGTTACAGGTCAGGACATGGATTCCGTCTCCTGACGTGTAACAGTAGGGGCGAAATGTTGACATGCTTGATGAAAAGGGCACGGGCTAGAGATCGCCAAACAAGTCAGATCTGAGGATTGGAAATTCAAAGCAGCTCACGGAAGCTTGTGGTCGTCCCCATGGCGCCCGATAGCGCGCCCAATCGGGCACAATGCAGACATAATGCATCTCACTCATATGGCGCTGGTGGGCGCTGTTTGGTGTTATTTGAGCGCGATTCTGTTCTAATGGGCACTACTGGGCGCTATTCGGCGCCGTTGGGAGTGGGCGCTTTTCACCTATATGCAATCAGTCCAAGACGAACGGAAGTTTCCGTGACTACATATTAAATGTTTATATACATATATATATATATATATATATACATACACATATATGCACACATGCGTGTGCCGCATCGAGGGGGCGGGGAGGCCGAGCTGGCAATCCCGGAGGCCCTGCAGGGAGGTTTCTACGTGCCGCCCGCCCTCGTGACCGAGGCCGCGCTCGCAGCCCCCGACCCGCCGCCAGCCGCCGCCGCGGGGAAGCCCGCGGCCTGACCGATGGTCCGGCGCTCCCAGAGCGACGAACGAACAGCACACACAGATACCCACAGGGGGGATGGAGGGGGCTATGGGTACGTGTTGTCAGATGGGAGCCTCCCCCGCGGTCCGACAGCCCGCACCCATACCCATAACCAGTCCTCCTCTCTCCGACCCCCCCTCTATGTGTATGGGTGCGTGTGGTTCGTTCGTCACAGACGATGAACAGACCCAGAGCTCCAGCGTCTTCAGGAACTCAATGCGGAGTTATTGTTGCACTTCTTCGACCTCTCGGGGCCCTGGTCGGGCCCCAGGACTGCCACGAAACAGCTCAAGGCAGGATGAAGAGCCTGCCCCGGGGAAAAGATCCAGACCTCGATCTGGGAACCCCGCGCTGAGAAACTCGCGACACCGGACGACTATACGGACACCGATCCCCAGATCTCCGACGACGTGGCTCTTCAATCCCGGCGTTGTTCCTCGATTTCGGCCTGTTGTCGGGGGCGGAAACGAGGAGGGTGATGACTAGGGGGGGGGATATCATGGCGTGAGCCATGATATTTCCCCAGATGTCATGGCGCCTCTTCTTGTTTCATTGCGTACCTGGCCCCCCCGCTGGGCCGCGCACATGCCGCTGGTCATGATTTGCACCCCCCCCCTCTTGGACACCCCCCTCTTGGCCGCTCCCGATGTTGGGGCCCGTTGCCAGGCCCGGCCGCGCCTTCCGCCTGAGCCCACCACCTCGGCCTGCGAGGGCCTCGTGCGGCCCCCGCGCGGGGGCCCAGCACCGAGCCCGTGCGGCGGCCGAGCGGGCTCCACTGCCGCCGCCGCGGGCCGCGACGGGGCCCGATCGGCTGCCCAGGCGGGGTGCCGAAGCGGCTCGGACGCCGAGCGGGCCCAGGAGGGGATCGCTCCTCCTCCTCCTCCTCCTCCTCCTCCTCCTCCTCCTCCTCCTCCTCCTCCTCCTCCTCCTCCTCCTCCTCCTCCTCCTCCTCCTCCTCCTCCTCCTCCCTCTTCCTCCTCCTCCTCCTCCTCCTCCTCCTCCGCCTCCTCCTCCGCCTCCCCCTCCTCCCTCTTCCTCCTTTTCCTCCTCCTCCCTCTTCCTCCTCCGCCTCCTCATCGGAGGGAGAGTCGGCGGGGCGCAGAGTTGGGTGGGCGCGAGGGGGGCGGCCCCGGAAGAGAGGGCAGGGGCTTCTGAGGAGCCTGCCCCGCCAGCAAAGAAGCCCGCTTGGAAGCTGCTCGGCCCGTCTTGAGTGCCCCCCGTGCCTGCTGGAGTCTGCGCGGTGCACAGCAGCAGTGCCTGTCCACTTGGGGCACGAGGTGCTGTCCGCTTGCCAGCTCGTCGGGTCCGTTCGACACGTATGCTTGCTTGTGTTCTGAGTGCCACCCATGCCTGCTGGAATCTGCGCGGTGCACAGTAGCAGTGCCTGTTCAGTTGGGGCACGAGGTGCTGTCCATTTGCCAGCTCGTCTGGTCCACTCGGCACGTCTGCTTGCTTTGTGTTCTGAATGTGTGTCTTGTCACTTTGTCCGCTGCTCCTATCCATGTGCTGTGTTGCGGTCAGTCTGACTGGTTGCACTGTTCCGCATCGTGCCAACATGTTCCTCACCCATTCTAGGCGGTGCCGATCAATCGAAGGCTCCCCGCGTACCCCACTTAGTGGGCCCCCGAAACGGCAGGGCCGTTTTTCACCGTTTCCGAAAAAGTGTCCCTTGAAAATGGAAACGGCAAAAAACGGCGACCGGATACGGCAACAAAAACGGCTCCAGGATTGGAACCGTAGCGGGAATCCGTAAAAAGACGGCGACGGAACCGGTAAAAAAACGACGTCGGAACCAGCAAAAAAACGGCACAACGGAACCGGCAAAAAAACGGCCCTGTCGTTTCCAGGGCCCACCCTCTGCGCGCCGCCTCCGGGCTCACGTCGCCCTCGTCGAAATCACTGCGTTCGGTAACCCATCATGGGAGCCCTGTGTGCCCTCGCGCTTGCGTCTTCAAAGTGCACTCTCGTCGACCAGCGTCTGGTAGTTGTCGAGGTAGCGCCGATCCAGCGTCGGTCAGCGTCGACTCGCGTCGCCTTCGTGTCGATTAGCGTCGACGATCGTCGATCTGCGGAGAGTCGTAGGAGCCAGCAAGATGGTACCGGAAGCTCCCATGAGTTGCCGCAGAAGAACTCGGTCCAGCGTCTCACTGGCTGGGCAGCTCTTATTTTTCTTCTTCTTCTTCTTCTTCTTCTTCTGGCTCCTCCTCCTCCTCCTCCTCGGCTCCTCGGCCGACCACACGGCGTTATGCACACGCGGCGGGCCCCTCCTTCCGCCTCCGAGGGTGCCACGATTGCCATCCCTCGGGAGGAGGGCGGCACCCTGCAGGGCGAGCAGCTGCGCGCGCGGCGCGCTCCTCCTCGCGCTCCCCGGCCTTTCCCCCCTGAGCCCACCCCCTAGGACGTGGACGAGGAGGAGGAGGAGGACGAGGAGGAGGAGGAGGAGGAGGAGGAGGAGGAGTGCCTGCAACGACCAGCCGGTTCCTGGTGTTCGCTTCGAGACCTCCGCCGGCCTCGGCGCAGGAGATTGAGGGGCAGGGATGCGGGGGGGATTGGCTCAGGGGGGGAACGCATCGACCCCCAATCGCGGGGCTGATAGGATTGTGCGGATCCGCCATCTATCGGCGGTGTATCGCCGCTTGCAGGTCGATGTTCCCCCCCTGAGCCAGTCCCCCCCTTATCGTTGCCCTTCGGAGGTCTGGAACAGCTAACTGGCCCAGTCGGGGCGCGCTCCAGCAAGGTCCTCGCCGCCGGCGCGTCTCTCCCTCGGAGATAGTGCGGCGGAAGTAAACGGTGCGGCGGGTGCGCCAGTGAAGGCCGGCGGAAAAGGAAAGAAACAAACTCACGAAGGTACAGTCGGGCCGCTGAAGAAGGAACTTCGTTCGTTGGGGAGGGGCTCAGTGTTCCTTTGTTGTTGTTGTTGCCGTTTGTCTTAGGCGTTCTTACGGTTTTCTATGGGAAGCCGAGGTTGTGACTTCTGGAAAGAAACGGGCCTCGTTCTTTATTCAGAGTTCCTTCTGACAGCGTTTCGACTGTGGTCGGCGGGAAGGTAACAAACGAACAAGAGAGAGGAGCTTACACGTTTTGGAAACAGGGCTACCGGAGTCGGCCAGTTGAGGCCCCGACCTCGGAGATCCCCTTGGCGGCCAGGCCAGGGGCCAGCCTCTGCCAGGGCCTGGTCCGACAATGGAGCCAGGCATGGTGGTGGTGCCCCCCAATCCCTCGCGCGCACTTTGACGCCGCGCTGCCTCTGAGGGGGGCCGCGGAGCAGCAAGTGGTTGGCGCTCCCCCCGCCCAAGACGAGTCGGGCATCGAGATATTGGAAAGAGTGTGTTCTACCGCTGCTGGCGGAAAACCGGGGGGGTCACTACCGGTTCGAACCCCTCCCCCCCCCCCCCTCCGGAAAACCGGGGGGGGTCACTACCGGTTCGAACCCCTCCCCCCCCCCGATATTGCCAGCCCAGACAAGGAGACTGAGCAAATCTGCACGGGTTCACTCGACATTGGCATCCGGTGCAGTCCCCAGTCGGTTTCGCTACAATCGGCGTGCGGCTCGCTCGATGCGTCTGGCTGTCCTTGGACGTCGATGAGATACCCCGCTGGGGTGCATTCGGCATGCGGTGCCGTGCGTGCGTGGAGCGCCCCTGGCAGCGTTCACGAAATGGCGTTTCGCCGACGGGGTTTCTGTCCACCCCCGAGACGAGGCGGAGGGAGAGACAGCGCGGCGTACGGAGTGTGTGTTGAGAGAAGGTCCATTTCGAGGTCGGAAAGGGGCTCGATGGTTCCTTAGGCTTGCATGTGTTACGCTGCTTTTTGATGGCGAGCCTCGTTGGTGTTCCTTAGGTTATCTAGCACGCGCGGATGCCTTCTGTGGATGAGAGTAGCTGGTCGAAGGAGCGGGGCTCTAGGAGGGGCTCGGTTCCGTGTGCCGCTTCTAGATGAGTTGTCCTACGGCGTGACACATCGCACGCCCGTTCTTTATGGGAGTTGAGATGATGCTCGCAAGTTTTGGCAAAGTTAGCGCTGAGCATGTTAGGGTCCAGTTCCTTGCTCGAGCACGGAGCGCTCCTTGGGCCACGCGGGGTGGAGTTCACAGGCTTACAATGAGGCAACGATGGTCAAATGCCCAGCCTCTCGGGCCCGACCAGCTCTTTGCGGGGCACATATCGGACCTTACGCCCGTATCCGCATACAAATGCAGGGGCCTTACGTTCCAGTTCATCGCTGGAGCACCGCACGTTCTTTAGGCCAACCCGTGGGTCACTTGCGTGATGCCTGCGTCGTGCGGGAAGCGTTTTGAGAGGGAATGCGCCACTTCATGTTGAGGCCAAGAGGGCAAGTGAACAACATGAGTTTCTGTTCAGTTTTCGGGTGATGTACCCGTCCGTCGCGTTGGGTGGGAATGAGTCACCTCCTGTTGAGACCTAGAGCGCAAGTGAACAACGAGAGTTTCTATTAAACTTTCGGGTGGCCCACCCGTCTGTGTGTCATTTGCCTGGTGCCAGCCTCATACGGAAGACGGTTAGGCTTGAATGCATCATTTTGAGTTGAGACCCAGGATTATTTGTTGGTCGATCAGGTTTCGGGTTACCCACCCGCCCGTGGGTCACCTGCGCAGTGCTTCATACAGGAAAAGCGGCCCCGCGTGGTCCGAGCGACGGATTGTCGCGCCTGAGGGGGGCGACTCTTCTCGGGGTTCGTCGGCGAGCCCGGGGGGAAGTCAGAGGTGGCGGGCGTTCTCAGAAGGCTCGGAAGGGCTGCGGCCGTCAGAAAGGGCTTCTAGCCCTCTCCGAGGACAGAGACGGCTCCTCAGAAAGCCTGCCGCCTTCTGAGAAGGCCTGCCCCATCTCACTTCCCCCCGGGCTCGCCGCCAAGGGGTGCCTGGACCTGCAATGTCCCGTGAACACCCGAAGGTCCTGGCGTCTCAACTTTCTAGAGGCGGGCGTGTTCGCCGGGCTTCGGGCCCCGGGGCTCTCACAGATCGATCTGGCCCGAGGGACGTTGTAATTTGGCAACGTCGGATCTCAGGGAAGATCACGATGGAGGTTTCTTTCAGATCTGGGCGCCCAACACAAAGCGCGACGGCCAGTTTTGTTGCACGTCGTCGGCCTCCGGGGACCGTCTAGACTGGGCCCGAGGCACTCGATCGGCTTGGGGCGAGAAGCCGGTCCCCGAGGAATTGGCCGAGGTCTCCAGTCGGCGACTGCAAAGGGTGTGGTTGCGGCAGGATGTGATTTGCGATCGGCACCGCTGGGGCCTTGGGAGCACGACACTGTCCTCGTCGGGCGGGACGCGGCGGAGAACTCTATCGAGATCCCCGTCCCCCCCCAGGGTGCCCCCCAGGGTGCCGGCTGCAGACCACATCCTTTCTGCAAAAGCCACGTCTTCTGCAGGAGTCGCCGAGCCAGGGGCTCACGTCACAGAAGACTGCGTCATCGGAAGAGGGGGGTGGGGACACTTGTGGGGCTTGGGATACATCAGAGAACGATCTGAGCCGACAATCCGGGGCAGGGGAAGAAATCGGACCAGACTAGGACGAGGATGCATCCGTTCCAGAGCGTCCCGGAACGCTCTCAGAGCGTTCTGGGACGCTCTGAGAAGGCCGCGGCGCCCGAGACATCTTCCAGAGCCGCCGGATCCCAGAGATTCTCGACTTATCCTCACCCGAATTTGTCGTCGTCCTGGCGTCGCCTCACCGAGGGAAGAGAGCTCCGGAGCCCACGCATGCCAGGACGTCCGAGGTTTGGGTTCAATGGTGCTGGAGCTCGGTCGAGGGCGTCGCGGCCGCTGCGGCCGGAGGTCCCCGTGGATTCGAGCGCATGGAGGGACGAGATATTCGGGCCGGTGCTGGCGATCAGGAGCCTGGCTCTCGAAGAAGCTTGCTGGGCTGGCGCCACGTCGGCTACACGCAAGAGGGGCTCTTCGCTGGCAGCCGATTGCGCGCTTGGATTTGGCAACCCTGCGCCCCCGTTGTCCGCGCACCAACGGTCACTCTGGCCTGGGGTCACACCTGCGTGTAGCCGACCACGGGGCGGGCTAGGCAGGATTTTGGATGCACGAAGTTTGGCCATCCCGTGGCGGGAGCTGGCTGCACATGTGCGCAGATGTCTTCCCAGCGCTCAGCCCCTCTATGACAGTGCGCGCTGGGTCAGCGCGTGGCCTCTGGATGCTTCACATGAGCGACGGAAGAAGATGGGGTCGATTGCGCCGTTCTTTCGCGCGTAGGCTTCCGTCAAGGCCGCGCGTAAGCGCCCTGATGTAGCGTGCCGCGCCGGCGGCCCGCATAAGCCACCGCGCAAGGTCGCTATGCCACGTCGATTTCGTCGCTCACATGTTAATCCAGCCATGTATATTTCCAGCTTCTTAGGAGACAGCACCCAGTCACTAATCCGCGGGCATGCTGCGGACAGCGCAGTCGCTACCTCGATCTTGATTGCCTCTGGCGGCGCCGCGCCGCCCGACTGCTTCGGGGACTCGCCGGAGCTCTCGGACCCCTTCCCCCCCCCGGGGGTTCGTGGAGGGAGGCTGTCCCGAGGTGAGGTTTCGGGAACGACCTCAGCTGGATGCGGACACTTTCTTGAGGGGCCGTCCAGAGCGACTGCCGTCAAACCCCGCCTCTGCCCCTTTCTCCACCGTTCCACCCCCCCGCCCCAGCGCGGGCGATTCCATCCCCAGCCGTGGGACCCTGCGGGCCGGGAGAGCGGCCTCCGGACCTCCGGACGCCGGGAGTGGCGGCGCATATCCCGCACGACAGTCTCGAGCCGCCGCCTCTTCACGACACCGGCGAGGGGCCCCAGGGATTTCAGGTTTGCGCACGTGTTGGGGCACTGTCTCCGCACCCAGTAGGGCGCAGGCAGTAGTCAGCAGTCAGTTTGGCTTGGAAGAGACCTGCAGGGGACGGCTTGTCAGTTGGCCCGACGCTGGCCCAACAGCTGCATCGATGTGCGTTAGTCGTCCTGCTTGATTGCCTTCTATGTGGGATCGAGGCCTCCTCCAAGGCGCAGCTGCAATTCCTGGCACTGCGCGGCACCGGCATGCTCCCACCTTGAATTGTAGGGCGGCGGGGCCATTTCCCAGCGCGGAGCTTCGCTCGTTCTGGTTCCCATGTGTAACGGACTCCCAGATGTCGTCGCCACGGCCGAGCGCGCCTCGAAGAATAATCGTCAGACCGGCGTCTCGGAAGGGTCCATGGAATGGTTTTCAGGGGGCTTTGGCCGAAAGAGTACAAGGACTAGCCAGATGTGCTCAGTACAGTCGAGCCAACTTGGAAGACGAGAAGGGGAAGCACTGGCAGAAGGTGCAGGAGGAAGAAGAGCAATGAGGACCCCTGTTCCATGGGCGAGCCCGTGACGCAAGAGGTGCTGATAGCATGTGATGCTCCACACCCTCTGAAATAATGTTTGTGTTGGCAGAGGGGGGGATCGTGGATCTTAACGGCGGGGGACGACGCTCATCAGTCGGCTGTAGCACGTGCTGCCCACGCTTGGTCAACATTTCATGAGCACACCATTCATTACATGCCAGCCCCAAGGGGGGGGACGATTACAGGGTTGTGAAGCCTCTTCGATCGATAGCTTGGACAAGAGGTTGGATATACCAGCCACCCCTGTACAGTAAGACTCGCAAGGCCAGGGCCTGATACATCTTGATGAGGTGCCCCCTATTCCTGTGCCGATTCAGGGGCGGGCCTTCTCAGAAGGCTTGGAAGTCGCCCAGCCTTCTGAGAAGTTTTCTAAGCTGTCCCCGAAGACACAGAAAACGATTCAGAAGGCGCGAGTGTTTCTGAGAAGTCCCGCCGCCTTCTGAGAAGGCTTTTCCCGTTTCACTTCCACCCTGGATCGCCGCCGAATTTTTGTTGCCGAGCGATCGCGTACCCGTGCTCCAGGAGTTTCTCCACCGAAGACGAGGCCATCGAGCTCGCTAACGCGACGCACTTCGGGCTCGCCAATGCCGTGTATCCCAGGGGCGCCTTCGCGCGAGGAAACCGCCAGACCCCCAGAGGCAGGAGGAAAGAGCGGGACTCCTCCTCCTCCTCCTCCTCCTCCTCCTCGTCCTCCTCGTCCTCCTCCTCCCTGCCTCCTCTGATAGCACCAGCAAGCTGGACACCCACGACGCGGCCAGCCTGGGCGAGAGCTGGATGCACCCTTTCCCCGAGGCCCGCAGCGACACGAGGCTCGTCGCGGTCGAGGCTGCGGCGGGCGGCGCGGTAGCGAGCTGCTCAAACACGCATGGATCGGGGGTGGACAGAACCCCCAACAGTGACACGTCGATTGGTGAATTGTCCGTTTTCGGTTCTCGAGAGGGCGCCGTGGCCGTTATTTTCCAGGCTTGCGCCCGCCAGGTTTGGGCCTCAGGTCGTTTTCACTAAACCACGTTTTACTAAAGGGAGGTCTGTCCATCCCCGAATGGAGCAGGAGGGGCAGCGGCCGTTGAGGAAGGAGGGGGGGGCAACGAGAACTGCCGGGTCTAAGATATGGGTCCTGAGGGATGGGGCCCGCAGCGACACGAGGCTCGTCGCGGTCGAGGCTGCGGCGGGCGGCGCGGTAGCGAGCTGCTCAAACACACACGGAGCAGGAGGGGCAGCGGCCGTTGAGGAAGGAGGGGGGGGGGGCAACGAGAACTGCCGGTTCTAAGATATGGGTCCTGAGGGATGGGGCCCGCAGCGACACGAGGCTCGTCGCGGTCGAGGCTGCGGCGGGCGGCGCGGCAGCGAGCTGCTCAAACACGCACGGAGCAGGAGGGGCAGCGGCCGTTGAGGAAGGAGGGGGAGGGGGAGGCCAACGAGAACTGCCGGCTCTAAGATATGGGTCCTGAGGGATGGGGCCCGCAGCGACACGAGGCTCGTCGCGGTCGAGGCTGCGGCGGGCGGCGCGGTAGCGAGCTGCTCAAACACGCACGGAGCAGGAGGGGCAGCGGCCGTTGAGGAAGGAGGGGGAGGGGGAGGCCAACGAGAACTGTTGGCTCTAAGATATGGGTCCTGAGGGATGGGGGCCCGCAGCGACACGAGGCTCGTCGCGGTCGAGGCTGCGGCGGGCGGCGCGGTAGCGAGCTGCTCGAACACACATGGAGCAGGAGGGGCAGCAGCCGTTGAGGAAGGAGGGGGAGGGGGAGGCCAACGAGAACTGCCGGTTCTAAGATATGGGTCCTGAGGGATGGGGCCCGCAGCGACACGAGGCTCGTCGCGGTCGAGGCTGCGGCGGGCGGCGCGGCAGCGAGCTGCTCAAACACGCATGGAGCAGGAGGGGCAGCGGCCGTGGAGGAAGGAGGGGGGGGGGGGGAGGCCAACGAGAACTGCCGGGGTTTCTAAGGTCGGGTCCTGAGGGATGGGGGGCCCTGAAGACAGGAGAGGGTCCAAACGTAGATTTACATGGATAGGAAAGGGTCCAAACATACATCGTTCGAGGCACCTCGTCCCCAGGACCCCATACCTCAGGACCCCGTCTTTGAGCCACCAAAACTGGCTGCAGACGAGGCCGGGTAGCTCTCCTGCGCCTGTCCTTCGCACGGCCTGGCGCACCTGGCCCTTCGCGCGAGCGCGTCCCGCGCGTGGCCTCCGCATGCCCGGCAGTCCAGCAGTTCGGGGATCGTCTACAACGCTGGTTCACCCCAATAATTATTTAATCGCTTCGCTCATTCCGCTGGCCCTGGAGCCCTCTTTAGGGCCTCTTGGGGGCCTCTTGGAGGGCTTCGGGGGCGGCGCCCAGGAGGAAAACCATCTCTGACCCGAGTCTGCCGGGACCCTGCCGGGGTACTTTTCGTCCGGGGACCCCCAGGTGCGGCCCCGCGCGCGCGAAGTAGAAATACTATTTAGCAGTTACCGGAGATCTTAGCACGCCTCTGGCCCGTTTGTTCACCCCAATAATTATTGTTAAAATCGGTTCGAGGGAAAATGCGTAGAACGATCAGCAGATCGACGGAACAGTACAGGTAATGTCCGTAGCGTCGACGGAAACAAAACAGCTTTGGGATCAAATCCATGATGTAGTCGACCCCCCGCTCGACACATGTGAATCCATCCATGCGTGCTTCCAGCTTCCTGGCGCAGGGCCCAGCAGGCACCGTTGCATGCCGGCGCGGAACCAACAGCAGACAGCGTTTCGATGCACCGAGAGACAGCAGGCACCTCTCCGTGCCCGCGAGAAAGCAAGAGGACAAGAGCCCACACGGACATCCGACATCGTGACAAATACTTTTTTGGGGGTTGGCGGCTCCTAGGCGACCGTCTAGGAGCGAGAGCGACGTCCGGGGCGGCGGAACGGTGCGAATTTGCGAACACAGCCGCCAGTGTCGGCAAGCCAGCTCGCATAAATCGTGACAGATACGCGAAGCCCTGAACCAAGGCACGACCAGAGTCGTCGACACAATCTGGTTTTCCGGCTTTGGCGGCTTTCCGGTTGGGCGCGGCGCAATCGGTCGAGAATTTCAATGGATTTTTGTAAGGACCAGAACAACCGAACATTTGGCACACCCTTGTGGCAATCCACAGGGGGCGGCGGATTACGGAGGGCGCGCGTAGCGACGCGATCCATGAGCTGGGAGATATCACAAGGGGGAGTGCGAGGGGGTTGGTAGGACCCGCCCCAGATGACGGAAAGCGCGCGTAGCGTCGCAATCCATTAGCCGGGAGAAACAACAAGGGGGGGGTGAGGGGGTTGGCTTCGGCAGGCCCAGGTAACGAAAGAGTGAGGTACGAGTGGTGACGTCCTGTCGGGGCGAAGCCCTCTAGGGAGGGGTCCAGGGGAGGGGCGAGACGCGGTAGACCAGCATCTAGTGGCCAGACTTCCCCCCCCAGACGGCCCGAGAAGCGCCCAAGACGCCCCAAGAAGCGCCCAAGGCGACCCAAGAGGGGTCCAAGAGGGCAGTCAAGACGGCCCAACGCGCCCAAGAAAGCTCAGGACCGCCTACGAGCGTTCCAAAATCTTCAGATGGCCTCAAGACAGCCCAGGAGGGCCCCGAGACGGCCTAAGAGGCCCCCAAGAGGACCCCCAAGAGGGCCCCCCTAAGAGGGCTTGAGCATCCCAAAAACATTGATTGTCCTTAGGTTTTAATAGTTGTTTCGGTGCTCGCCTCTTCGGGGCAAAAACTGCCCAGGACGGCCCAAGAGGCCCCAAGGATCGTCCCCAGACGGCCCCAGGGGCCCCAAGAGAGCCTCAAGACGGCCCGAGAGGGCTCCACGACGGGCCCCAAAACGGCCCAAGAGGGCCCCAAAGCGGCCCGAAGAGAGCCTCACGATGGCCCCAAGAGGGCCCGAAGAGACCCTTAAGAGAGCTCCAAGACGGCCAAAGGCCTCCAAGATGCAGTCAGACGGCCCAAACGTGCCCCCAACTGGCCCAAGAGGGCCCCAACACGGCCCAAAAGCGCCCCAAAAAGAACCTTGAGGAGGCCACAAACATGGATTGCCAGAATGTGTTTTGTATGTTTTGGGGGATTCTCGCCTTTTCGGGCTTCGACGGCCCAGGCCGGCGCAAGAGGCCCCGAAGATCTTCCCGAGATGGCCTTAAGAGGCCCCCAAGAGGGCCCCGAGGCGCCCGAGGAGGGTCCCCAGACGGCCCCCGAGGACCCCAAGGCAGCCCAAGAGGGCCCCTCAAGGCCCCCCAAGAGAGCCCCAAGTGGGCCCCATGAGGCCCTCAATAGAGCCCCACGAGGCCCAAGGAGAGCTCCAAGACGGCCGAAGGCCTCCAAGACGGCGCAAAAGGGCACCCGAACGGCCCAAAAGGGCCCCAGGAGAGCCCAACAGGGCCCCAACAGGACCCTGGAAGCAAACAAACATGGATGTCCCTTATGTTTTTTGTACGTTTTTGGGGTTCTCGCCTTTTCGGGCTTCCGACGACCCAGGACGGCCCAATAGGCCCCCAAGATCATCCCACGATGGTCGAAGAGAGCCCTGAGTGGGCCCTATGAGGCTCCCAATAGGACCCCAAGATGCCTCAAGGAAAGCTCCAAGATGGCCGAAGGCCTCCACGACGCCCCAAGACGGCCCAAAAGGGGTGTAGGGACTGGGCTGCTTGGGTATGGGGGCTTGGGCTGGCCCCAGGACGGCCAAAGAGGTTCCCAAACGGCCGAAAAGGGCCCCCAAAAGACCCCAAGAAGCTCCAGGGGCACCAAATAACACATGACTCCCAACAGCGAGCGGTGACGTGACAAGCTCTTAACACCAAGGCTTCTCAGAGCGCGGTGGTTGGCGACGGACCCGCAGATCGGGGCGACCCAAAAGATATCTCAACAGCCGGTTCTTTTATGTTTCGGGTCCTGGCCCCGAGACTGTCAAAAGTTGCTTGGGAGACAGAAACGTTATCCGGAAAAGGTCGAGCTCCTTGGGGTGGCCACGTCGCAAAAAATGCTGCGCCGGCGGAGGAAAGGGTTAGTTGACGACGGACCCAGCTTGCACCAGGGCCCGCTTTTCATCACCCGAGTCATTCCTCGCGGTCTCCCGGTCCCGAAGCGGCGCCCAGAGGCAGAAGACGTTGAAACACAACGGCCGGTCGGACTCTGTCGCTGCTACTTACGCCCAGATCGGCGAGAGGGCCTGAGGCGGCACTCCCAGACATCCGGCCGTGTGCTTTCCCGGCCCCTGCCCCGCGGGCAGCCCTCCGTCCAGGCTCAAAGTCTGAGGGTCCCAGGGCTCGGGGCCGAAGGCACAGAACTGCGGGAAGAGCTCTGCGATTCCACAGGGGCGCACCGTGGAGGGCGTGCCGTTTGGCTCGAAGCTCGAGGCCGGACCCGGCCGTGGCGACGAGAAGCCCCCGCGAGGCCCACAAAGGTCACGTGAGCCAGAAGCTCCACGAGCCAGAGGAAAACGCAAGGACTGGGCAAAAGCAGTCGCGCTGGAGGTCTCTTGAGGAGGCACGGGGTGAGTCTCGAAGCGGCTGCAGTCGTGGCGACGGGACTCGCCTCCAGAACGAATCCCTCCGCCACAACTCGATCCGCGAAGTTCGACCTTGACCTCGACCTGGGGGGAGGACCCGAGGTTCCCTTTCCGGGCCCACTGGGCCGCCGAATGGGCAGTCGAACGGGCCCACTTTCAGCAGGGTGGTGGGATCCTGGGTCCCTTCGGCGGCCAGATGGGCTCACCCGGCGCGCTTTCCGCGCCACAGGTGCCGCGCAGCGGCGGCCGCGCCGCTGCGCCTGCAGCGCGGAAGGTTCGGACGGTGGAGGTCAAGGCATCTGCCTGCATGCCTCCAAGCTGCTTGCACGGTGCACAGCTCGAGACGACGTCTGGCGTGTGCGACGCGTGTCGGGAGCATTGAGCCTCCTTCGTCAGGCATGGGCCCACATGGCTGCCGCGTGGCACGCGCACACTATGCACACGTGCTGAAGAGGCAACATGCGCATGCGGCGGGTGGATGTTCTGGGAACCTGTCAAACAGCGAGGACCCTCGCCAGGCAGTCGTTGCTCCCCCTCCGCCGTCCGCGCAGGGTCCGCCGTGCCGAGAGTGAAGGTCATGGGCGCGCCCGCCTCATCACAGCGCGCCGATCTCGCCCTCGGACGGATCGAGGGGCCGGCGGGCTCTGCCGACACGGAGCGCTGCGCTCGGGTGGCCGCTGCAAAGGGCGGCGGAGGGGAGGAAGATCGAGCTTCGAGGGTCGATGCTTTTAATCCGACGGAAGGCCTCCGAGGGCTCTTGGCCCCACGGCCGTCAAGCAACGACTCGGGATGAAAGCTGGCCCTGTGGAAAGGGTCGGGACTTCTGGAAACCCAGTATTCCAATCAAACAAGGCATCGGTTATCCGGAAACTTCGAGGGTTGAGGCTTTGGGAGCATATCTTGCGTCTTCGATGTATCGATGGATAGGCCTCCGGGAGGCTTATCGTCGCTATGGCTGGATGTCATCGAAGTCTTAGTCAAAGCGCACCCCTAGACTGGTCTGAGGGCCGGTTTTTGAAGGAGGAGGGGGGGCAGGGTCGAGGGGGAGGAGAGAGCTCCGTGGGCCGTTTTCGGTTCCCAGAGCACTGAAGGCGGTGCGGGCGAGGGCAGAACTTGTCTGGGGGCACACGGACTGGAAAAGCTCAAGGGTCGAAGGCTTGAAGAGAGAAAGGACAGCGGGGACAGCCAAGGGAGGGAGGGAAGGGGGAGAGTGCACAGGAGATGGGGAGAAGGGGAGGGGCGGAAGAGGAGGAAGTGGAGGAGGCGAGTGGGAGAGCGGAGGAGGGACAAGGGACAGGATCAAGGAGAGAAGTTGCATGCATGAGGGAGGAGAAGGGAGGAGCGAGGAGGGGTGACGGATGAGGCTGGAGGGGACCGGTCCACACTCCGGCTCCGTTTCATCGCTGTCCTGTTGCCATTTTGTGTCGCTGTTCCTGCCCAACTGCTCGCCCCAGGTGGCTCGCAAGTTGCAGAGCGGCGTGGTGTGGGAGAATTGCTCGCAGGTGCTATCCACCAGGGTCATCGCCACGTCCGGACCCCGCAGCTGACCACGCAAACGCAATAGACCGCCGAAGCATACAAACAACATTGTGCATCTTGCACGCGCCTGAAGCGGATGCCGCGGGGGATCGATGACAATCAAGGAAGGGAAGAAAGAGGAGGAGGAGGGGGAGGAGGAGGAGGAGGAGGAGGAGGAGGAGGAGGGCGAGGAAGAGCAGGAGGAGGAGGAGGAGGAGGAGGAGGGAGGAGGAGGAGGAGGGAGGAGGGAGGAGGAGGAGAGAGGAGGAGAGGAGGAGGAGGAGGGAGGAGGAGGAGGAGGAGGAGGAGGAGGCAGGAGGAGGAGGAGGACGAGGAGGAGGGTGAGGAAGAGCAGGGGGAGGAGGAGGAGAGGAGGAGGAGGACGAGGAGGAGGAGGAGGGGAAGGAGAAGGACAACGGGAAGGAGGAAGAGGCGAAGGAGGAGGAGGAGGAGGAGGAGGAGGAGGAGGACCAGCACATGTTGGGTGGGCAGGGCAGGGCAGGACCGGGCATGGAGATGGAAGCCGCGGGGGCGGGGAGGGTGGCGAGGCAGCGCGCAGGCAGCAGGAGCCGGCGGGCCCGGGCCCGGAAGGGCGCGCGAGCACGCAGCGCAGCTCCGGGGGCACGGCGTGCTCCGCTGCCCCCGGGGCCCTGCAGCCGGGGGCTGCCAGAAGTGCCCCTGGTCAGGAGGGGAGAAAAACACAGACACAAAGAATCGTCGATTCCCCAGAGAAAATATGGGAAGATGTGGGAAGTGGGAGGGGAGACAACAACCCAGAGAATGTGGGAACATTTCGGGGATCCTTTTATTTGTGTGTACTTATTCGTGTGTCCTGGTGCCCCTTCACCTGGGCCAAGGTGCCCCCAGGATTCTCGGGGTAGCCCAAACGGCTTCCAGGGCACCCCGCACGAGGCCCGGGGGGCCCCAGGGGCTCCAAAATGGAGCGGGAAAGCTGGGAGCACCCGATCCAGAGGGGGGATGGGAAGGAGATCGGAGGAGGTGGGAAGGAGATGATGGAGCCCCCTCCACCTGCCCGCGGACGCCCTCCTCCCTCCGCCTCGTCCAGGGCGGGGACGGGCTGGAGGAGGGAGGCGAAGAGGAGGGAGAGGAGGAGGAGGCGGGGAGACGGAAGATGAGCAGTAGAAGGTTGTTGAAAAAGAGCAGTACGAAGTACAGTGGGGGCGCGTGACAAGAAACCAGTTGGATTTTGCCAGGGTGCCCTGGGTTTCTTGGACTTCGATGGATCCCCAATAAGATCTGGATGACTTTCGATCAACAAATTTGGGTTTTCATTGAGCAAATCGCGGATTTCAGGGTTGGGTTTCTTGCGGAGGTTTCTTGTGGCCGAGCCCCCACTGTACGACGAGAGAGCGAGGCGAAGGATGGAGGGGGGAGGACAAGGAGAATGGGTAGGAGTGGGGATCAGGAGAAAGGGGATGAAGCGGGTGAGGTTGACGACGGCGAGAGCAGGCGATGATGATGATGATGATGATGATGATGATGATGATGATGATGATGATGATGATGATGATGATGATGATGATGATGATGATGATGATGATGATGAGGATGATGATCGATGAGGATGAGGATGAGGATGAGGATGAGGATGAGGATGATGAGGAGGAGGAGGAGGAGGAGGAGGAGGAGGAGGGAGGATGAGGATGAGCATGAGCATGAGGAGGAGGAGGAGGAGGAGGAGGAGGAGGAGGAGGAGGAGCAGGGTAAGGAATAAGGATGGAGGAGGAGGGGTGATGGAGGAGGAAGATGTGGAGCAGGACGTGGGAAGGAGACAGAGGAAGAGGAGACCGTCGCTCCTGTGGGAGTCTTCTGTGGTATTCTGTCCTTCTACCATGAGAGCCCTCTAGCGAAACTCCAGTTGGGGACTACCCGGGATGCAGAATTCAGAAAACAGCCCAGGCCCGATGAAGGGGCCGAGACTTCCCGGAGATCCGACTCCGCGACAGATGTGAGACATCGTCACAATTCGCGACCAGAGTCCCAGACCCCGTACGTTCTGAGGTATGTCTCAAGTCGGATCGACCCGTGAGCACCACAGGGTCCGAAATTGGGCGAAACTCACCCGGTGTGGAAGAGACGTACGGAACTCCTCCTCCTCCTCCTCCTCCTCCTCCTCCTCTCCTCCTCCTCCTCCTCCTCCTCCTCCTCCTCCTCCTCTTCCTCCTCCTCCTCCTCCTCCTCCTCCTCCTCCTCCTCCTCCTCCTCCTCCTCCTCCTCCTCCTCCTCCTCCCTCCTCCTCCCCCTCCTCCCCCTCCTCCTCCTCCTCTCCTCCTCCTCCACCTCCTCCTCCTCCTCCTCCTCCTCCTCCCCCTCCTCCTCCTCCTCCTCCTCCTTCTCCTCCTCCTCCGGGGGGGGCCCGCGTCGCCCGAACATGGCGCCGCTATAGCGGGGAGGGCATCCGCGTGCACACGCGGCCTCCCCGGGCTTGCTCGGGCAGGCCTCTGACGCCAGGCTCGGCCAGTGCATAAAACGACTCGCGTCGACTTCGTGCCGATCAGCGTCGACGACCGTCGATCTGCGAAGAGTCGCAGGAGCCAGCAAGATGGTACTGGAGGCTCCCATGAGCTGCCGCAGAAGACCTCGGATGGACCCTCCAGCGTCCCACTAAAACGACGCGAAGATCAGGACAACATCGGATCGGGATAACTCGAAATCTCTGAGAATCGGCGGGTTTGGAGGATGTGTTGGGCGCCGCGGCCGCTCCAGAGCGTTCCGGAGCGCTCTGAGAGCGCTCCAGAACGCTCTGGAGCGATTTGTCCCGATCCTAGCCCTGTTTTAAGTGCAGGTGCGTCGGGGCAGACGGTTGACGCACGCCCCGAACGTCAGCGGCCGGCGGCTGGCGGATTCCCCAGCACCCCTTTCGGGGGGCGCGTGGGCAAGACCAGCGGCTTCGGGTGGCCAGGGGAGCGAGACGTCACGATATTGATATGGTCCGGAACGTGTGCTTAGCGCGTGTCGTTCCGCCGGCTCTTGCCCACCACACTTCGGCGCGGCACGCTAGTCACGTCCTAGTCCCCCGGCATCAACGTGAGCTTTTGCCAGCCTTCTGCCCCACGGAGCAGAGCGACACGCTATCAGCTCTAGAGGCACCGCGTGTTGCAGGGGCCACGCCACGACACGGTAAGCAAAAGTCCCTGGCCACACATGGCAAGATTTCCAGAAATTCTTCTTGTCTCGCGCAGCATGGGACGGATGGCCGCGAATGCTCAAGGGCAGCTAGGAACCCCTGAATTCGCACAACATATCTCGGCCAATCGCCGGGCGTTGCCACCCCGGCCCAAGCAGGCCCCCACGGACTCAACAGCACCGCTCACGAGGCCAGGAGGGCCCCAGAGCCTCCAAAGTGCAGCGAAAATGTGGGAATACCTTGGGCCAGGGACACCTTTCTTGTCGTCTGGCGACGCATTTTTTCGCAACGCGGGCCCCCAGGGATCAGTGATCACGATCTCTTCACCAGGGACCCCTATTGCATCCTGCTGAGCGGTTGAATGACAATCCCGGGGGCCAGGAGACGGCCGCCGGAGGCTGAAAGTTATGAACAAAAACGCCCGTCGCGATTTTTCCCGACGCCCGGATCGGAGGGGTTAGCAACCCACGAAATCTCACGATGGTTTGATGATAGCCTCAAGGTGGGAGCTCGGCGTGGTCGGCCTGATGGAGTACGTGAGCGGCAAGACCGTCGTGAGCGTCCCGGCCTCGGCCCCTCCCGTTGGCCGTGGATCGGCCACCCACTCGTCCCCCTCCCCGCCTCTTGCATAACAAGCTGTAAGAGAAAACCGCATACTGAGCTTCGAAAGGCCCGCGCTGGATCCCATCCACGGTCACGTGGTGGTTGTTCGTCGCGGGGCGTATCTTTTGCGGGCCCCGCGTTGACTCCAACCGGCTCCCGCGCCTCCGCAGTCCGCCTTGCCGAGCCGAGCACAGAGTGGCGACGACCCACCTTGCTTCTCGCAGTGCCTGCCTCGGCTGCCACTGCCTGCCTTGTCGCACGCACTGATCCCAGCGTTGTGGCGGATGACGTGTTGCTCTGGCGCTGCCACGGTGCGCTGGCCACTGCCGCTGCCACTGCACACCTTCTCACTCGAGCCGACCTCGGTCTTGCAGCTGATCGCGTGCCGCTCCTTCACGTTCGCTGCCTTCTCCACGTTCGCTGCCTTCTCGCACGAGCTGCCCTCAACATCCTATCTGGTGGCGTGCCGTTCCTGATCTGCCATGTTGCGCTGGCCTCTGTTGCTCCCGCCGCCGCCACCGCGCGCCTTCTCGGCACCAGCCGACCCCAGCGTTGTAGCTGATCACGTTCCACTCCTGCGTTCTGGGACGAGCTGCCCCCAGCGTTGCCGCTGATGTCTGGTTGCTGCTGCTGTCGCCATTGCACTCCCTCTCGCACGAGCTGCTCCCAGCGCTGCAGCTGATCACATGACACCGTTGCAGTCTTGCTGCCTTGGCGCACGAGGTGCCTCCAGCGTTGCAGCCGATGGCGTGCTGTTCCTGCTCTGCCGCGGTGCGCTGGGCAATGCGGCCGCTGCGCACCCTCGCACGCGCCGCCCGCAGCGTCGTGGCTGATGACATGGTGCTCCTGCACGTCTGGTGCCTGATTGCACGAGCAGCCCCCAGCGTTTTACTGTCTGCCTTGTCACACGCGCCGATCCCAGAGTTGTAGCTGTGGACGCCTGCCCACTTCTTGCTTTCCAAGCCTTCGCCGACTGCCTGTCGCACGCGCTCCCCAGCGTTGTAGCTGAGGGTGCCTGCCACCATTCGCAGTGCCAGCCTCCACTGCCGCTGTCTGCGTTGACGCGTGCGCGGGTTCCAGCGTTGTAGCTGAAGGCGCCTACAAGCTTCTCTCACTACCAGCCTCGGCTGCCACTGCCAGCCTGTCGCACGCGCTGGTTCCAGCGTTGCAGCCGAGAGTGCTTGTTGCATGCCCGCAGTGCTGACATCCACTGCCTGTGCCTGCGTGCCTTGCCGCACTGGCCGATCCCGGCGACGTAACTGAGGGTGCCTGCCATCTTCTCGCGATGCCAGCCTCCACCGCCACTGGCTGCCTTGTCGCACACGGTGACCCCAACGTTGTAGCTGAGAGCGCCTGCCTTCTTCTCGCAGTGCCCGCCTCCACTGCCACTGCCTGCCCTATAGCAGGACGGGTTCCGCTGCCTGCTCCCCTGCCTCTCCGGCCGAGCCGGCTGCCGCTGCCCGACTCGACGCGCGAGCTGACTCCAACGGAGTAGCCGACGATGCACGCCTCGGGCGCTACCTCGCTCTGGCACATTTCGCTGTTGGCTGCGCATTTCGCCTGGCGCGGCCCCATTCCCATTCCCCAGTGTTGCCGAATCTCCGCACTGTGACTGAAAATGGTCTGCCCCATTGCTGTCTATGACTCGGGACGGCATGGCCATTCCTAGCCTTGCTGTCTTAGCCCAGGGTGTCCCCTGCCCTCAGAGGGATTGTTGGGAACAAGAAGAGGATCAGCATGTGGTTGGAGAGCTCAGCAGGCTAGCTCCGCTCAGGCGTTGCATCCTGTTGTAAGGACTGAGCAGAAATTCTGGCCCCTTCACTGGCAATACAATCGTTGAGGCTCATTAGGTGGCTCTGAAAATAAACTGGGCCTAGGATGACAACTTGTGGTGCTTGCCTTGATCGGCTATCCACCATTGCGTTTTATCCCAAGCTTTCTTGGACACTTCGCAGTGGCTCTGGAGGTTCCGTGGGAACGAGCAGAGGAGGAGGAGGAGGAGGAGGAGGAGGAGGAGGAGGAGGAGGAGGAGACGGAGGAGACGGAGGAGGACGAGAAGCAGGAGGAGGATCAGCCACAGCAGCAGGAGTTACCCCGAGGCCGCCAAGCCTGGCTTCTCCTGGGGCGCGTACTCGTGAGAGCGACGCGCCGCTCGCTGGGTGGCCGCCTGGCGGTAGCGCCCGCTCACTGCTCCTCTGCCCCTGCTGCTGACGTGTCTGCGGCTGCAGCTGCCGCTGCTGCTGCGATGTTGCTGCTGGGGCTGCTGGGGTGCTGGGGCTCATGCGACCGCCGCTGCCGAGGCACACTACTGTACCCACCAAGCCACCCCAACCCAGCCCGAAGGCCCCAAGTTGCTCTCCATTTCCAGTGGGGGGGGGATCCACGAACATGGGAAAGCACAGGTGGACCCCGCACGCCCCCCCCAACCAGAAATGTGGGGCTTCGGGTTGGGCTGGGGTGGTCTGGCATGTAGTCAGGGGCTGCCGCCGCGGCTGCCGCTGCCGTGGCTACTGCTGCTGCTGCTGCCGCGGCCTCCGTGTCTGCTGCGGCTGGTGCCGCCGCCGCTGCCGACGCTGTCGCTGCTGCTGCTGCTGCTGACCTGGAGCGGCTGAGGCTGCTGTTGCGATTGCTGCACGAGGCTGGTCGAATGTCAAACCTTGTCGGGTTGCCAGCTGGTTTTGCAACATTGCCATCAGAACGTTGTCTGCTCACGCAGTGCACGAGTGCACGGCGAACGGTCACATGCACTGGGAGCTAATTGGGCGTTGGGGGGAAGGTGAAACCGTCTCCCCAGAGTATACTGACCTCGCATTATCTCAGGGGGCGAGCGCATCGATACCGCTACCCGTCCCTCGCCCCCACAGCTAGAATCGCTTCGAAATCTAGGTTGGAAAGCACCCCGGGAGGGGCATGGGGATTATAGCGGTCCTGGTACAGCTTGGTTATCCACTGTGTTGATAGGTAGTTCAAACTAGTCCCAGGTGAGAGGGATGAGAAGGAGGCGGCGCCCACCCTCCGATGCGCAACTCAGCAGTTGTTACACTATTACAGCGGCCTCCCCACCATAGATGCTAGAATGCGCCACGCGATTCTGCACAATATTCAGTGCCTTCAAACTCTTCGGCTTGCTTGTAGCTCGAGATCAGCGCAAAACAAAGCATCCTGCACCAACTCTACAGGAGGAGGACGAGGGCGGGGGAAGGGAAGCGAAGGAAGGGGTGACCGAAATGGCAAGCATGCGAGTTTCATTTAATGAACCCAGCGCGACCCCAATGAGGGGGAAGCCTGTTGCATGGGCGCATCATTGGGGGCATCTCTTGGCATTGCTTGGCATTGCTTGGCATCGCCTGGCATCGCTTGGCATCGCCTGGCATTGCCTGGCATTGCCTGGCAATGCTTGGCATTGCTTGGCATTGCTGGGCATTGCTGGGCATGGCCGAGGAACCAAGGAACCCGAGGCACCCGAGGAACCCGAGGAACCCGAGGAACTCGGGGAACCCGGCGAATCTCCAGGGAACGGGCAAAGTAGCGAACCCGAGGCATTGAGGGCGGGAAACCGAGAAACCCGGGGAATCTCCTTGGAACGGGCGGAGTAGAGTCCCGAGCCACCATTCTTTGATGGGCTTGTTTCCCACCACCACCACCACCATAAGTTGGAGGGGGAGGGGGACCTCCTCCTCGCCCTCCTCCTCCTCCTCGTCCTCCTCCTCCTCCTCGTCCTCCTCCTCCTTGTCCTGCACCTTCTTCCCCCTCTAACTTATGGTGGTGGTGGAAAACAGGCTCATCATTCTTCTTAACTAGGTAAAAACCCCAAGGCAAGCCGAATTGGGAACATATGTTGTTTCATGTATGTGACTTGCCCTCCAGGCCTTCAAGACGGTCTAAGAGTCCCCCAAGAGGGCGCAGGAACGCCCCGTTGGGACCGTCCATGGCACGCGACACGTGCGGACTCCAAACTCGCAACCACGCCCGAGAGAGCCCAGAGAAAGTCATGCAACTTGGGTTCTGGGGCCTGAAAGAGTACGTAGCGCCACGCAGTTGCTGATACGAGTGAGGGTGCTGGCGTGGGATGGGTCGCGGATGGGTCGCGGGTGGGTCGCCGGATGGGTCGCGTGTGGGTCGCGTCGCGGGTGCGTCGCAGGTGGGTCGCGGGTGGGTCGCGGGTCGGTCGCGGGTGGGTCGCGGGTGGGTTGCGGGTGGAGCGCGGGCGGGTCGCGGGTCGGTCGCGGGTGGGTCGCGGGTGGGTCATGGGGGAGTCGTCCCCGGGTCGCGGGTGGGTCGCGAGCCGATTCGCGATTGGGACGACGACAACATCAGTAACAAGTATCATCAGCAACAACATCCATGAACAACAACATCAACAACAACGACAACAACGATCATTTTGATATTGATCGCTCCTATCTGCTCGCGTGTGATTCAAAACGTATTTCCCAACCCCCCGGTACCCGCCCCTTGCGTTTTCGATGGTAGACCTTAGCGGGCGGGTCGGGAAGGCGGGCCTAGGCGGCCGGGGCGAGCAGGCGGGTTGCTGAAGCGTGAGTAGCGCATGAATCGCGAGGAGGCCTCGAGAGACAACGCGACTCCCAAGTGAACGTGCGTAAATCGTGACAGAGGCGAAAGCGAGAGCGTGTTTCTTAAGCGTCGAGGGCGCGGCGTTTGAATCAATTGCGAGGAAATCCCACGCGAGAGCGCGATTCCTGCACACATTGTGAGGCCGCGCGAAAGCGTGATTTCCCAAGAAACTGTACGGTATCAGGAGGGGGAGCTGCTTTTGTTTCAAGCCCGGGGCCAGAAACGCAGTTTGGTGACCGCACACCTTGTTTTGAAACTCCAATTGAAAACTTCAGTGAGCACAGGATCAACAACAATTATTATTCAAACATGCAGAGGCAATATTTCTAAGACCGTTCGATCTTATCTGCTCGCGTGCCATTCGACACGTACGTCCCCACCCTCGTTGCCCATCTTTTTGGTCTTCGGTCGTGCCCCGACTTGGGGGTATATCCCCAGTACTTGTCCCGTGTAGTTGGCGCAGCCGCTGAAGCAGGGGAAGGAAGGGAGGAGGGAAGAGACAAGGGAGAGGGAGTGATGGAGCACGAGAGAGTACAAGCGGCAGAGCCAGACGGGCAGGTCGGGCGGGCGGACCCTAATGAACAGGTCGGGCGGGCGGGCCCAGCCGGCCTGGTCGAGCGGGCGGGTCTTTGAAGCATCAATCCAACATGAATCGCAAGGCCAGGCCGAGCGATAGGGCTATTGCCAAATAAGTCGTGAAGAAATCCGAAACGAGAGTGTGATTCCTGAGTCAAGGTGGCACGGTGTCGCAATATATTGTGATTAAGTGCCAAGCGAGAGCGCACGTTCTGCATAAACTACGAGGTCGTATGCCCTTGGGGGTATCTCTTTCTTACCTGCCACGTGCATTTTGCGCAGCCCATAAAGCAAGGGAAGAGAGAACAGACGGAAAAGGGGAGGGAGAAGGTTGGATCACGCAAGAAATTAGAAGAAGGGTGGTAGGAGCAGAAAGCACGTAGCAGAACCAGACGGGCTGATCGGGCGGGTAGCTCCTACCGGGCGAGTCCTGAAGGCGGGCCCAGGCGGCCAGGTCGAGCAGGCGGGTTGCTGAAGCATGAGTGCTGCATGAACCGCGAGGATGTGTCGAGCGATCGCGCGACTCCCACGTAAATCATGGTAAAAGGCGAAAGCGAGAGCGTGATTCCTGAGTGTCGAGGGCGCGGCGTCTGAGTACATTGCGAGGAAGTCCCACGCCAGAGCGCGAGTCCTGCATACGTTGTAAGTAACTCCCGCGCGAGAGCGTGATTTTGGACTACACTCTAAGGAAATAGCAACCGGGAGCAGCTGTTGCTGTAAGCCGGGGGCCAGGTGCGCAGCTTGTGGTGACCACAGGATTTGCCTGGTCAAGCACAGGGTGAGAGCCCATGGAGGAGCACGTCAATGGAAAAGCGCCATTTTCGATCGTAGCCCCCTTCGGGGCATTTTCATTTTCATTTTCGATCTGTCGATCGTAGCCCCCTTCGATCGTAGCCCCCTTCGATCGCAGCCTCATTTTTATTTTCGTATCTGCCTTGTCTGCAACGTGTATTTCGTGCAGCCGCTAAGACAGGAGAAGAGAGGACGGATGGAAGGAAGGGACAAGGGGGAGGGAGGAGGACGGAGCGCGAGAAAGAGTAGCAAAAGGTGGGCTGGGAGCAGAACGCACGTAGCAGAACCAGACGGGCTGATGGGGCGCGTAGCTCCTACCGGGCGAGTCTTGAAGGCAGGCCCGGGCGAGCAGGCGGATTGCTGAAGCGTGAGTGCTGCATGAATCGCGAGGCAGCCTCGAGCGATACCGCGATTCCCAAATACATTGGGACAAATCCATTGCGAGAGCGTGATTCCTGAGTGTCGAGGGCGCGGCGTCTGAGTACATTGCGCGGAAGTCCCACGCCAGAGCGCGAGTCTTGCAAAAACTTGTGAGGAACTCCCACGCGAGAGCGCCATATTGGACAAACATGGTAAGAAAGGTATGATCGAAGCGGGAGCCGTTGTCGTTGCAGCTCGGGTCCCAACAACGCAGTTAGAGCACGCACGTCATTCCTTGAGTAAATTGCGAGGATGTGCCACGCGAGAGTGCGATTCCTGTATAAATTGTCAGGAAGTCCCGCGCGAGAGCGCGATTTGGGAATTGAGTGTGAAAAAGTATCATGCGGGAGCTGTTGTTGGTGTAGCTCGGGGACCAATGGCCCCATTTGGTGACCCCATACCGTCCCCTGTAAAAAAAACAGGGTGCGAGCCCGAAGGAGCACTTGAATTGAAAAACACAAGGTGCCCTGGACGGGGGGGGGGATCAAGCTAAGTGCGCTCGCGTCAGACCTGACGTCCTACCCCTCCCTCCCGTCCCTTATCATGGCGCAGATATCCTCTCTATTCGCACAGTCGGATGTCGAGCGGGGCAATGATCCCGACAGGGTGCGCGATGCATCGTAGAGCGCGGCATAGCAGGGCGTAGAAGAGCACGGCAGAGAGTAGTATGTCATCGCATGGCTTGGCGTTGCGTAGTGAAGAATTGCATCACTTAGCATTGCAACGCAAATAATGGCATCGCACAGCGGCACAGAACAGAACATGGCATAGCATG